ACAAAAAATATATTTTCAGTTATTGGATTATTATTCATCAGAATTTTTGATAAAACAAGTTTTATTGTCATTGAATTAATAAATTTTATTTTTTTCCCTCTACACACTTACACTAGAAATTACATCAATTATTATTAAAGTATGACATTTCTCTGTCCCACTGTCTTATTTTTAATCTGAAATATTAACCATGTCAATTCTATAGATCTTTGTTACATGACTTTTCATAACCTCCCTTCCCGACATAAGACATTTTTAACAACATATTTTGTGATTTTTTTATATATATACGGGCGACTCTTTTAAAAAGAAATATTTCTATTTTATTTTATTGAACTAGGAGAAACCTTTATGTTACTCAATGGGCAACGTATACGCCTATATTCCGGTAACTTTTATTCAAACCTTTGGAATAAATCGCTTCATGTCGAGTTTAGAAATTTTGTAGTTAGGTTATTTATTTTAAAATCGGTTAGTAAGTTTATATAATGTAAGCCCTAAATCTCCGTATTTGCGATTGGTATAAATTTCCTATTATGTTTGCATGAGTTGTCGATTTTTATAGGATATTTTTGCGTGGTATTATATGATTAATTAAAACTATTTCTAAGAATGTAATATCAAATTATGACACAGCTTATGAGAAACAGGCAACTCGCTTTACGACGGTTTTCCACGAACCAATTAAGTCATAAAAAGTAGCCGTATACTGTAATATATACAAATATAGACAAGTTTTTATAGTTTAATTTGCTTTAATTCCACATTACACGCCTAATAATATGTAGTCTATATTAATTTAATAAAACTTTCTTATTTTTTTGAAAAATTCAAAATTATCATCTAGTTTTATTTATCTAATGATATTAATAGAATTGTTTCCTTCTGTTAAAAGATTAATTTTCTTCTTCGTTCAAAACTCGGTTTCTTTAATAATTTTCAAAGTCCCCAATATTTTGACGCTTTAATGGGAACTCTGATGTAGTTTATTTAATGATAAGTTTTCTATTTGAGGTTCATAATTTGTAGCTTCTAAGACTTTTCATTACAGCTTTGGGTTCCTGATTTCACACTATATGCAGCGCTCTTGTCGACAGGGTGACGCCCTGGTATTTTTTTTAAGCAGGCGAAGCCTGTGTATGTATGATACTTTATGAACATCTAGGTTGGATTTTAGACTATGTACTAAAGCCAAAAATCTGAGAAAATTACTTCTTGAATAGTTCTTTGCGCTGATTACAAATATATAGGTCATTTTTGGATCATTTAAGCAATTTTGCAGATATTGCGCTTTGCCCATAAATAACTCGATTGATGGCAATTCAAACTCGGGGTGCCTGTTATCGTCCCGAGTTTGAATCGTCTTTTTAATTTACTATTACACCTCTGACTACACGTGAAAAGTTTAGAAATCTATCAAACATTTTTTATAATTTATAAAAACCTAACTTTCTGAACATTCACTTAAAATCGTCGCATGGACACCATCACTATTCTAAAACATAGTTAAGAACATTTCACTAATAATACTGTTTTTGGTATGAAGTTACTACTGCTTCATTGTAATATTTTTAAATTTCACTATATAGACTTGTATATATTTCAACCTTTTCATATTATCCTAAATAACTGTTAAAAATATCTAAAATAATATCGATAATCGAATAGTTATAATAAATATCAATTAAAAAAGAAATTTTAATAAGAGTAGACCTATTTACAAATATATTTTTTCTGCTAGTAAAACTCCTAAAGAAATTATTGCAGGAGAAATACTAATTTTTAATACAGTGAATTAAATTTACTTATTTAAACTGTGTATTTAAATATTTTAATAATAATTGATGTAATTTCTAGTATAAGTGTGACATTTCTCAGTCCTCACTGCCTTATTTTTAACTTTCAACGTTACTTTCACTATTAACAGAAAACATTTAAAAAGAGTACAGTACAGAGATTCCATTATATATTATTTTATCGAATTATCAAAACGTTATTTATTTATTTTGTATTATCTTTCTTTTGTATTTAATGACGGAATACGATGAAGATGTTTTTGTAAATAATCTTCAAACACTGTAGTTTTGTAATTTATTATATTTCCATGATAGGCCAGCATTACAATGGATGTTTCAGTTGTCTGAGTCAGATCGGGAATCTCCATTTCAAATCCCAAGAGAGTGAATACAATTGACGAGAAGTAAATTAATTCACAGTCTTTGATGTTATCTCGTTTCATGTGACTAAATTTGGTCGGGGAAAGTAACAAATCAGTGCTGATAAACCAGCAAAGAGATATTATCAATGTTTTTTCTTTTCTTTTCGTATATGGTTCTACATCTTATCTTATGGAATTTATACAATCAAGATGGAAATTTTTTGATTAAATTATTCTCTATCAAAAAATGCGAATTTTAAATGTAAAATATGTATACTTTTAGTGAGATTGCGAACTTTCTTGGCTGTTCAATCCCATTTCTGAGAGAGAACGTAGGCTATTTCTAACTTATGATAGTAGAAAAAATTTACTTGCACAACATTCGTTCACCCTGTTAATGATTTTCAGAGATTTCATGTCTTTTTATAATTGATAAAAAAAAAAAAATTAATTTATTCATAATTACTTTCTCACCATCTTTACTAGAAGCGCATAAAGAAATAGCAAAAAATAATACGTGGATTTACTATTGAGTAAAATCAATGAGCAACACAATATATAGTCACAAAATACATCTCAGTCAAGAGAGGCGAAAATTGGACACGCTCAATTTAAAATAAAATATGATCTCTCCTGCACTTCTCTAAAATTGTAAACATTACTTCCAGTATGCCAGAGTTTCATTTATTAGTAAGAGGAAGGGAAGCTAACGACGCATAATACTACATCAAAATTTATCTTTTGCCACATGCCAAAAAAAAGAAGGTACATTGTTATCCTCATTATCTTGCTTACTTAGTTCGGGAACGATGGCAATGACAAATATTATTGGTGTAGTAGTCATGGCTATACAACCCAGCCCTGACTTTCTCCATTTTTCATACTGCTGCACACTTTCAAGCTGTACATTGTTACAGTACAGTTAGTGTTAGATATTCAGAATGAATTATTGATCTCTTGTTGGAATGGTGAATATCGTTTTATTCTCAGTACAAACGATTTTTAACTTAAAAGATCTTTTGGAGTATACTCTTCTATTGATGTTACACAATATTGCTGTCACTAAATGATTCATATGCATCATCCTCCTGCATCTGGATAATCAATATAAATTTTGTAAAGAATTCAATTAATTTTCAAACTTTTTTTTTGTTAAATTCAATCAAATTTTTTAAATTACATTAAACATTTTTTAAAAATAATTGTATACTAATATTTTAAACAAAATCTTATTTTTAGTTGAAATAAAAAAAAAATTGCGTTTTGATTCAAATTTTATAATTTTTAAAATTATTTATAGTAGGAGACCCAAACTTTTTGGCTGACGACCCTTCAAGATTTCTCGACCTTTTATCGACCCTCTTCTTCTATTTTGCTAATACAATCGATAATAAAAAATAAAATAAACAAATCTGGTAAGCCAGTATTAACTACACGCATCCTTCTCTTAGAAAATATCTACTTTACAACATTACTACTTTATAGGATTCAAATTTACATCATTCAGAACTGTCATATACACAACTCTAATACTTTTTAATGAACCGTTTTCGATCACCTCCCCCAAAAATGCCTTATTGACCCCTGAGGTCAATATCGATCACTTTAGGGCCAAATTTACAGTATTCTAAATATTTTACATTTTAAGTTAAGTTTTTAAAATGTCAATATTTAACAGTATATTTAATGTATTTATCTTTTAATTTTAATATTACAAAGTTCAAAGCAAATGACTACATGAAAAAAAACTTAAAATAGTTTTCTAATTGCTCTAGATTAATGTGAACTCATATGTATTCTACATAATAACTCCTATAAAATAAGGAAAACAAATGATACTAAAGAATTTACTAATTAAATTCCTAGAAGAGATTCCAAGTGCCAGGATAAATCATACACATGCAATAAATTTTAATAAGTAATGATTAATCCAATAATGAAGTATTTTTTGTTTTTTGCTCTGTAAACAAAAATTTATCATTGTTATAATAAAATTATTTCAATTAGATTTCTATTTTTTTAATAAATAAAATACAGTTACAGAATTAATTTGTTTCTTATGAATAAATGGAATAATATTTTTTAAGTGGACAATAAAAGTATATTTGTTAAGCAAAACAGTCAATTAATTTTTTTCTGATTATATAAAAAAATTACACATTTCTTATAAATTTACTACTTTTCATATAGAATTTGTCATGAAAAATATTTGTGCTAAATAATTAAAAAAATTATTTTTTTTAGTTTTATTTCTACCTTAACTTATTCACATAGAGAGAATTTTATTTATTAATAGAATAAAGGGGAAAAAAAATGTATTTCCACTCAAAAATATTTAAAAATTTTAAATTTACAACTGTTTAATAAATGAAGAAAGTGATAAAATGGTAATTCTTTCTTTTATTTCTAGGTTTAATCTATTTTATAATTGTTAATAAAATACATTTTAAATCATCTAAAATCAATTAACTTTCATTCTAAAATTGTTTTAGTTCTTTTTTCATTCTCTGAATATTTTGAAAATGTTTTTTAAGAGTGCGCAGATAAAAAAATTTTTTAAATAAAATATTTATCTTCCAAAATTATTAATTTCCTAAAATAATTCATTTCATTCATAAATTCTTTATATTATTATTGTATTACTTTATATATTCTCTAATTGTTCTAATATTTTTTATTGTTTAATATTTAAAATAAATTAAGGAATAAAATTTGTTTGTTAGTGAGGTGAAAATATTTTATGACTAATAACAGAAAAATTCCAACAAAATTTATAATGATTTTTATTTAATAAAGAATGATCATAATTATCTGTATACATATCATTATATGAAAACATGAATAAAAAATTTTTAAATATAACTTTATTACACAATTAAAGAAATACAAGTTGCCTTCTTTACATTTTTAAAATTTTTATGAGGCATAAGAATGAAAGCACAGTGCAACAAGATCTTTTATCTTCTTAATCTGTGAGCTCCAACAACCAGGTAAATAAATGAGCACCCAGATTATAGTATATAAATGCATAAAATTCTTTTTTTTTTATTATTATTTTATAATATTCTCAATTGTAAGATATATGTAAAAGGCATAATATATTCAAATATTTGTACAATGTTAGAATTTCTTTATTGCCCTATGGCTTTTTCTAACATAACAACATGGAAAAAGACAACAAAGTTGCCAGGCTAAAAAATTTATTCTATAATATAACAGTATTATTCGTTATTGTAATCATTATATTTGTGTTATGATTTCTAAAATGGTAAATATGTTAATATTGATATGTTGGAAGTATGAAAATTTCAAATATGGCAGGTTCTAATATGAGGAATGACGTTTTGGCGGGTTAAGATTAATATGTGCCATTTAAGTGGAAAATATGGATAAAATTTATGGGCATTCAGTTGGTAGCACCTTTAATGACACTCATCCACCTGTCAATTACAATTAAATTTAAATATTATGAAATTAGCAAATAACAAAACTATTAAAAATTTTAATTTACCGTTCAAAGGTATATTCACTCTCTGCACGGAAAAAGTAAACATGATTCTTAAACTGCAATTTAAAAACAAAATCTCTATTGATATTATCTTGTTCGGTTGGAACTGATATATTATATCCTAATAATGGCAGACTTGCCAATGGATAATCATCCTAAGTAATAAAAATTAATAAAATGAATAGCTGTTAGATATTATACAAAATATCAATATGAAAATATACTCACCTGATAAGATTTATAAAAGAATAGTGAAAAATTGGTAAACACAACCCAAAGTTTCTGCCATCCACTGCTATTTTTAAACTTTCTTAATAAATAGCCACTCAAATATTGCTGTTAGAAAAAGAATATTGTTAATTAAAAACAAAAACTCAGAGAAACATGTATCTTATCCATGAATCTTTTGCATGAGTCTAAATTTATTAAAAAAATTAAAAATATAGAAAAAGAAATATATAAGGGTGACTTGACGGGACATGAGACTCGAAATGAAAAACATGAGTTAGAGCATTATTTCTTTTTTATTTTTCAACATATTCCCCTCCTAATTCAATGCACTTGGACCAGTGGTGCTGAAGTGCCATTAAGCGTGTTCTGTAATAATTGGTTTCAAGATCATCAAAACACTGCTCCATTGCAGCAATAACTTCTTCATCCAACTTAAATTTCTTTCCAGTAAGGAAAATTTTGAGCTTGGGAAGCAGGCAAAAGTCACCCAGAGCTAGATCTGGTGAATAGGTTGGGTGGTGGACAACTTGGAATCATAATTAATCCAATTTCTCTTGAACAATGTGACTCGTGTGAGAAGGCACATTATCATGATGGAAAAGCCTTCTTTTTTTAGCCATCCCAGGTATTTTTTCAGTAATTGCTACTTTCAATTGGTCCAAAGGAGCAGCATAATATGGTACATTGATAGTTTGGCCCTTTGTAAGGTAATTGATGAGAAGTATCCCCTTGTTCCTGAATCCCAAAAATTCATGGTCATTTTCTTCCTGATTTGGCCTTGTTTGGCGAGGACTGCTATGATGCCTATGATGCCTCCATTCTTGAAATTGCCATTTACATTCTGGAATAAAGTGATAAAGCCAAGTTTCATTGACTATAACAAAACAATGCAAAAATCGACTTGATCCTTGTTAAACAGCTTTAAATTATCAGTGGACATGCATGCTCTTTCACATTTTTGATCAGCATTCAGTAAGTGTGACACTCACTTTGCTGACAGTTTAGACATGCCCAATTTGATGTGCAAAATGTGATGAATGCATTCAGTGATTACATCTATGATCCTAACCCTCTCCTCAATGTTCAGTCTTTGGCCACTCAAAACAACACCATGCACTTGATCAATTACAGTATTCCTGAAGTTCTTACTATTTTTGATGGTCAAGGACATTCATCTTCTTCAAGACCCATATCACCATGTTTAAATCATCCAATCCAGTGGCAAATTGTTGCCCAATGTTTGCATCATATCAGCCACAATCTCTGTTGTGTTCATCTTCTTGAAAAACAAATACAGTGAAACCTCAGTTAACAAACTTAATTTGTTCCACGACTCTGTTCATTAACTGAAGCAATTTTTCTCATAGAAATGAATGCAAATACAGTTTATCTGTTCTATCTGCTGGAATTTTTGTAATTTTATTTGTAAAATGGGTTTTCTTTGATGAAAATATAGAAAAACACCATTTCCACAACCATTCTATAGTATCTATCATTACAGCAACCAGTATGTACTGTACACTTTATGTAATAAAATAACACTGTACGTACAATACTTTCGTTTGTTGTAGTTGTTGTCAGAGGAGTGGAGATGTACAGAGCTTAATGCTTGGAAGGGGAATCCCTCTCCATAAAAATATTGGGTAGCACTGCATCAGGAAATTCTTTGAGTCAAGGTCGTTTGATAAGGAACAAGTGGTCTAAAGTTGACAAGTGGTAAAGTAATTGTCTTACTATTTTAATCAAAATTTTTCTAAAATGCAATATCTCATTGTCATTAATTTAATGAATGACCCTATTAGCCACAACTTTGTTAGGGTGGTGCTTCTCAATAAATTCCTGCACATCATTCCATTTTCTGCAAATTTCCTTGATCTCAAATCTGTGATTTCATCCCTAACCTCTTCCTCTGATGAATGCTCTTCTTGTAAGACTTTCACCTGTTCTTCCTGCAAGGCAACCAGCTCTTTTGTGGTTAGTTCATTTTGATGGTCCTTTATCAACTCCTCCACATTTGCATCATCTACTTCTAATCCCAAACTCTTGCCAATAGACATGATTTCATGCACTACATCAGAAGAGTTCTCTGCTTCAAATTCCTCAAAGTTTTGCTCTAGGACACAAGTTGGCCAAAGTTTCCTCCAGGCTGATTGCAAAGTGTGATGAGAGACCTCACTCCAGGCTTTGTCAATAAGGTTGATACAATGCAGGATGTTAAAATACACCTTCCAAAAAGCTCTAAGGGTTAAAAGAAGACATCTAAGAGGAAGATCCATTTGCTGAAGATAATTTTTGACAGTTGGATCAAATATTTCTGTGAGCCAATCCATGAATAAAGTCCAAGTTATCCATGCTTTGCTATTTGCCTTCCATTGTACAGGCAGTTTGGACTATCACATTATTGCTCTTAAAGGCACACGGATTTTTAGTGTTGTAGACTAAAAGTGGCTTGATTTTGAGGTCACCACTTGCATTAGTGCAAAATAAAAGAGTGAGCTTGTCCTTCACAGGCTTGTGTCTGAGTAGTGCTTTCTCTTCTTGGTTTATGTATGTTTGTCTAGGCATTTTTTTTTTTTTACAAAAAAGACTGGTCTCATTGCAAGTAAACACTAGATTTGAGACATATCCTTTACTTTTTACAAACTCTGCAAATTCATCCACAAATGCTTTTGCTGATTTTTCATCTGAACTTGAAGCCTCCCCATGTCATATGACACTGTGAATGCCACTTCATCGACGAAACCTATCAAACCACCCTCAGCTCCTTTTAAAGTCCTGCCCATCTGCACTTGTACTGGGTGTCTGGGTTAACAAGTGACTGAGAAAATTTTTAGCCTTTTCACAAATTATAGCTTCACTAACACTGTCTCCAGCAAGTTGCTTTTTGTTGATCCATATTAGCAGCAGTTTTTCAACTTCATCTAAAACTTTCAATCTTTGTTTTGATATCACATTCATTCCTTTAGCTACTTTGGCAGCCTTAAATGCTTCTGTGTTTTTAATAATTGTAAAGATAGTCGATTTTACCACATTATATTCTTTAGCAATGTTAGAAACATAAATGCCATTCTTGTGTTTTGCAATAATTTCTTTCTTTAATGCTACACTGAAACGTTTTCTATTTCCACTATCACTTATCTCTTTCTTAGGTGCCATATTGATTAAATATATAAATCACAAAACTGAAAAACAAAGTTTAGCAAAAACACTCAGGAAAAGCAATGCTTACCTTGTGCATGCCTAACAGCAACTAAAATTTGACACAAAAACCGTTATGTTCATTATCTGAATTTAATCTGTTATCTGAGACAAAATTTTTGTAAAATAAAAGTTCATTAATCAATTTGGTTGTTAACTAGGGCAATCATTAACTGAGGTCCCACTATATTGAATTGCACCATGAATAGCGATTTTATCCATCTTAGGATTATCCATTTGTGTATTTGTAAACAGCTGTATCTTTCACACTTATAAAATCGACAAAATCATAAATCGACAAAACTTCACCTGCCACTATAAAAAAGATGATGGAACTTGCAAATAATGCAAATTTTGTCCCCTTCAGGGTGAAAGTAGTTGAGTTGCATGTCCTGTCAAATCGCCCTCATACACAATATTTTATTGTTAGCATCAGTTTCTGTGAAACACAGCCTGTAACGGTTGATATTAACTAATAGTTAACTAATGTCAGCCTTCTTTTTTTTTAAATCTGTGAAAAATAAAAATTATCACCATAAACATTTATGACCAAAATACAAGCACAAATTAATATTTTTGATCAATATTTCCTATTTATCAGGAACAACTGATCAGAACAGCATGAAACTTTACATACAAGCATCAAGAAAAAGTATCAAGCATTGTCATATATCTTTTTGCACAGAAAAAGATAATACAACGTGAGATAGTTTCCTGTATGCACACAGCACAGCAATTGCTCATACTGTTTATAATGTTGTTTATTACCTCTATTGTGAGCAAAGTCTATTCTTGAACAACAGCATCCCACACATGCTCTATGGGATTTAGGTCTGGATATCTTGCTGGCTATTCCATACAAAAAATATCTTCATTGTCAAGAAAGTCACTGTCAAGTACAGCCATAGGTGCATAAATATTATCATCCATGAAAATGAAATCTACACCTACAATATCTTGGAAAATCTCATATGGTATTCCAAGATCTTGTTTCTGTGTTTTCTTACAGTGATGGCACCTATTATAAAAATATGGAGCTCAGTGTGGCCATTAGGCCTAATGCTTTTCTAGACCATAATACCACCACCTCCAAACTGGTCTTTTTCCATGATGTTCATGAATCTGTATTGAGTTCTCCATTCTCTCCAGATTCTAATTCAATGAGAACCATTGCTTAGGCTGTATCTGGACTCCTATCTATGGATCAAACAATTATTCTTATTTTTTGGACCTAAATAAAATGTTATAAAGCAGTACTCTGACTTTAATCTATTAAACACCAAAAGACATTCTAAAGAAAAGCATTAACTTGCAATGTCTTTCAAGTTAATGCTTTTCTTTAGAATGTGCCTATGTTTCACTGTACATTTCATTACAAAAGTGGAATTTATGTTTTTAAATAAATGTTTTTATTCAGAGAATTATGGGGAAAATGGTAATCATAAAATACATATAACAAGATTTTCAGACATAAAAAAGAGATTCATTTAAAAAAATCTGTCAGGAATTAACATTCTCTTAACTACAGTTTTGTCAATGTATTAATTGTCTAATTTTTTAATGTAGAGAAATGAATATTCAAAATTTTTTCAGCTTAAATAAAACTGATGAACACAATCAACAACAAACAAAGTATCTTTTGAAATAGGAAATACCTTATTTTTAATCATCCTTATTTTTACAGTACCTTATTTTTAATCATCAACTTCACTGTTACTTTCTTGATTCTCATTATTTAATTTAAATTTTGATATTTTAAAAACAAAGATCCTTAATATAATACAACTATGTAATAAAAAACATACAGTATTTTCATGTAACATGTTGCCAGATGAAAGTTTTTAAACCTTCTGAACATATCCTGGAATTTTGAACAAAGAAATCAGCTAAATTTCCTTTTATTTTGTTGAAAGTTTTTGAAAGCACTAATATTAATACTGGCAGGAAAGTGGAAATAACATTGACATTAACAAATATTACCCAATACACTACATAAATACTTCATACTAGGAGAAAGATTAATGGAAACCAGATTAATGGTTTGTATCAAGTAAAGTTAAATTTACATTAAAATATATAGTTTTTGCAGAGATGTTAACGATTGGCAATACTAACCAATACAATAGTTGTTGCTAATGAGATTCTACTGTATATAAGTTGTAGAAAAATATGATTAGTATTACATAGTAAAAGCAATACATGATTAGAAAATGTAAATCACATCAAATATAATAAAATTAAATTTAAGAAAGAGTAACTAATTTAAACACTTCAATAAATAAAATGCTTAAAAATAAAACAACATATAATTCAGGCAAGTACTTTCAATTTCATAAATAATATGACAATTAATTATCATATTTATAAAATAAATCCTGTTTAATAAATTTTTAACAAAATAACTCAAAATTTGAAATTTAATTCAAATACATACACATATATTACATTGCAAAAGTGGCATGAAATGTCAGAGTTGAACTACTAAAAACCATCCTGTGTCTTTGGCAGTTCAACAAAGAAGTCCTGTGTCTACTGTATACTGCATGTAAAATGTAAATCATTAAGTGCCTTACGTATAATAATACATCATTTTATATACTAGAGTAAAGCAAAATTTTATAATAATAATTTTTTTTTTTCTGAAACCATGTTTTCGTATTTATTGACTATTGAACACGACTGTGTTATTAATTAAACACTTGGCGTTTTTCATTTTTTATTCAGTTAAAAGTACCCGTATCAACTGAATAAAGAGGAAAAATGCCAAGTGTTTAATTAATAACACAGTCTTGTGTTCAATAGTCAAATAATAATTTTTATTTTTCAAAGATTAAAAAAGGAAGACTGACATTATTCCATGAAATGGCTAAAAACTATTGACACATTATATACAATAGCTTTGTTAGTTAATCTTTTGTTTATTCTCTTGTACAAAGTATCCACTGTGTATTTATTGTTTTGTATTATTACTATACTAATTGATGGATTCCTGTAAATTTTGTATTTCATTATGAAAATGAATTATCATTAGTGAAAACTATTTATAGATCTTTAGATGACATATTATTACTATTGACAATTAATCATCATCACTATGTTAATGTTATTTTGAAACTTATTTGACATTTAAACAATTTCAGATTTCAAGAATGCATTTCAGCTCTTACTGATTTTATTTTGGAAATAAATTTTTACTTTACAGATTTTCATTTTATAGTCTATGCAGAATGGACTAGATTCATAAAGCAATAAAGAGTTTGCAGTTTATTATATTTTAAAATATTTTATTTCTATTAATTCTACAAATGAATTAATTATTCTAAGTTCTATGATTATTACAAATGAAATTTTATGTTTAACGATTTCCTGAAATTTAATGTTAACCAAATCTTATTTTATCCTAAAGAAGAAATATTAAGTTTTAAAACAGTGACATTACAAACATTTATCACTGAAAATAAATCAGTCATTTTTCTGTTTTAAAATTTAACTTATATTTATTTTTTAAAATCAAGTAAAAGTAATTATTTTTTATCATTCCCCTACATTCTGAACTATGTAAATTTTAACACTTTACAAATAATTTCCTCAAAATTTCATGACAAAGATTTTTAAACAACATATGAAGAACAATTTAACTGACAAAATTGAAGCAAGCAAAATGTTTTATAACATCTCATTTATTTGTATTTTTCAAATTAAATTATTTTTACTAACATAATTCTTAATGAGATTGTAAATAAAATCAACAAAAAAAAAAAAAAATCAAACAAACAGCTTTTTGAAAATATTTTTGCCCAAAATCAGGTTTTAATATCTGCAATAACAACTTAAAACTTCTATTACCTCTATATTTTATTTTGATAATAATTGTTTTAAAGATAAAACTGTCTTCTAAAAATAACTGTTTGGTTAGCTTTATTGAATTTTTGTGCAGAGAATACACTTTACATCTTTCCATACATAGTATATCCTGTACATTACTTTATTGAAAATTTTGAACTAACTGTATCATATTATAATTTATTAAGTACATTCTGTAATGTACTCACTCCTCTAACAGATTGTAATATATTAAACAAGCCAACTAATTTGAAAAATTGCCAAATTTCTATTTTTCTCAGGTATCTAAAACAGAAATGAGTTTGCAATTATATATTAAAAAATATCTCATATTACCTTATACTTTTAAAAGTGTTCATATAAGATTNTCATAAAAAAAAAAAAAAAAATCAAACAAACAGCTTTTTGAAAATATTTTTGCCCAAAATCAGGTTTTAATATCTGCAATAACAACTTAAAACTTCTATTATCTCTATATTTTATTTTGATAATAATTGTTTTAAAGATAAAACTGTCTTCTAAAAATAACTGTTTGGTTAGCTTTATTGAATTTTTGTGCAGAGAATACACTTTACATCTTTCCATACATAGTATATCCTGTACATTACTTTATTGAAAATTTTGAACTAACTGTATCATATTATAATTTATTAAGTACATTCTGTAATGTACTCACTCCTCTAACAGATTGTAATATATTAAACAAGCCAACTAATTTGAAAAATTGCCAAATTTCTATTTTTCTCAGGTATCTAAAACAGAAATGAGTTTGCAATTATATATTAAAAAATATCTCATATTACCTTATACTTTTAAAAGTGTTCATATAAGATTTTTGAAACTCATTTATATTTTACTTTTTGCACTTTTTTTTTATTATAACATATTAAATTTGAAATTCAAGTCTTTTAGATCAAGCATTTCCAAGATTATTTTCTCATATGACTTTATATCATTGTTATATTGAAAAGTATTTCTTAAAATAAAAATTTGATATTTTATTTGATTATATAATTTTTTATATTTTACACAATGTTTTACAGTTTATGCTAGTGAATCGATTTAAGAAATATTTAAAAATAATATTAAGTATAAAATTTGAAAAGTTTTCTTAGCAAGAGCTACAGATATAAATATTATCAATGAAATTTATAAATACCGTCAAAGCTCGTTTATAATCATCTCTTCCAACACTTGTGTTTCTATGCCAACAAACATGTACTGTAGTATTTGATCGATGTTGAACTTGTTTTTCTGCACTGGTACTGCCTGCAGCATGCTCATGAACTGAATAAGAACTTTCAGTTTTTTCTGCCAGTTCATCAGATGAATCTGAAAAACATGAGAATTTATTTATCCAATTTATTTTTCATTCTATTATCTTTTTTAGATAAAATTAATTGTAGTGTATAATACTTAATTTTATCCAAACTTGATATTTTTTTAAGTTTAAGATTTTTATGTGAAACAGTAATTTGCTTGAACCAACCTGAAATCATATTTTATTACTTACTTAGATTAAAAATAAATTTTGAGCATAACTATTAAACACGGATCTACCAGTTTTATTCAAATAATAACTAAATTTTGTCCTTAAAATGAAATAAAAACCATGCCTACTATTTGAAAATTTCTGAAAACTTAGGGAAACAATGTAAAATTAATAAATACTGTAAACCATGTTAGATGGATACTGTATTTATTTAACAAACAAACTTTAATAAAAAATGAAATATGTAAAATATACAATATACAGTAGGATTTGATTGATGGAATAAGGCAGTGTAATATTTTGCACATTCAGTTTTTAATAACAGAAGTTATACAGTATATTCTTATCTTAGTGATAACCCATTCAAGCTTAATCAACAAGAGTAACTAAATGCTAAAGTTTTAATTTAGCCCAGAAATTTACTGTAATCAAACATTTTTAAAAACATTTTATCACATCTTTAAATCATCATTTATATATTCCTGACACAGTGCAAGCCGAATGAAGTTGTACTAATGAATATATTCATGTAAGATTAAGTTATCCCATACTGCTTGTCCTTGAAAAGTTGCTAATAGATAACTACACAGTGTGACATGTACTTTGAATTAATTTGAAGCCATTTATTTATAGAATTTGAATAAAGAACAATCTAAAGATGAGATAAAATGTCTCAAAAAAACATTTAATCATAAATAAACTCTCTCAGGCTCCTAAAAATTTTTGAGTTGATGAACAGTTAGACATCTCAGTTCCATGTTATTGGAAATAATTTATCTTTATCCAACAGAATTTTGATATTGTATTTCATTAATTCCATATATAGTATATAGTAAAACCTGTATAAACTGGAACTACATAATACTAAATTTTTTTTATATTTTGACAAGTTTTCATTTTGAACAAGTTGTAATATTNATCTTTATCCAACAGAATTTTGATATTGTATTTCATTAATTCCATATATAGTATATAGTAAAACCTGTATAAACTGGAACTACATAATACTAAATTTTTTTTATATTTTGACAAGTTTTCATTTTGAACAAGTTGTAATATTTTTCTTTTAATCTTTACCAGATAAATGTCATATAGTTGCATTAATTTTAAAATTACTTTTATTACTTACTTAAGTGGTAAAATTATTTTTATTACATATTTAACATTTTATTATTTGGTTTCATCCAAATTAATCCAATGTGATTCCAGCTAAAGATAGACTCTTTAGCTGGAACTCTTAGTATTTGAATATTAAGAGTTCTCAGATGTGTTCCTTTTCAATTCACTTCACATGACAGTGAATGAGCCAAGTCAAAATAAAAAACTAGTGTTTCACTCTGCCATTGAAAATTTAGATCTCATTACAGTAATTGAGTGACAAAGTTTTCTAATCTGGCATCTCAGAAAGTTTTAATGCTCTAATTAATTGTTAACTTCAATCTCTTTAATTATCAACAATGTTAATTAACTTGTTCTTGAATACTTGTTCTTGAATACTTGAATAATAGGTTTAGTAACTAGTTAGTTACTAAATACACCGTAGTCCACACAAGGCAAATTGGTAGCATGTTACTTAATTTTCATTCATTTCAATGAATTACACACATTACTTGTTGAGAAGTCGGTTCTCAGAAAGTCATTTGAATCTTAAAGTTCTTGATTCGTAAAAGTATTCACTTTTACTCTTGGTTAATTCCAACAAAGACCTGTCCATATATCTTTTGTCATGTAACCTTCATTTCTTTAAAAACATTTTAACTCATTCCTGAAATATAATTTGTCATGCTCTGTAGTGACCATTATTTCAAAAAAATACATCCACTGAGCCTTAATTAATTTCCAGTAATATTTAATGTGAAAAATTTGGACTAACATTTTTGATCTACAAACAGAAATCCTCAAGTCAGAATATTCCAATAAAAATACAAGAACAGAATAATGATGATTTTGGAAATTAATTGAAATAATGTTTGAATATATAAAAATAGTGTGAGGTATAGGTGTGATTAAAAGTAAAAAATAAAAATAAAATATAAATATATAAGAGAACATAACATTATAAAATCTATAGGACAATGTTATGTCATAGTTAGATATTTCAAGTTGAACTAAGATGAATAAGATTTCTGTTCGTGTTGGTCATGTAGGAATTTCCACGTACAAGATAATTGTTGTTTGTCTTTAAAATTAATATAATGATCTTTTTCATAGATTTAATTGTATTTTTTAATGTTTGAAGTTTTTCCAGTCTCCCATTAATGTTTTGAACTCTAGACCATTATAACTTTGTGCAATATTGGTGAAGCAATTTTATTTATTTATTTATCTACAAGTGGATTCTTACTTTTTCACTTTATTCAGGTCAAATTACATTCATCACATCTGAAAACCTCTTCTGTTCTTGCATTAGACAGATTTCAGAGTTATATTAAAATTTAGTATAGAAAATCATTCCATTCTGAAGTTGCTTTCCATTTAGGCAGGATTTCCATTTTATTTAGATTTCTTTTAGATAGGTTTTATATTTAAAACCTATCTAAAAGGGGTTGTAATAGGTTTTATATTTAAAACCTGTTACAACATCCACTATTTAACAATAAGAAATAATACTAATATCAGCTATTTATAGGAAATTTGAATTTCTTGGCTGTATTATATAAGTTTAAAAATTAAGTTGAAGACATGGTCTGTTGAAAATGGAATCATCATTTATTCAGTTTCAATGTTCTGCAATACAAACTTTTTGACAACCAACCTTTCTTTGTAGGCTAGTTGGCTGTCAAAATTAAAACTTCCCTTAAAAACAAGAAAAAAAAACAATATCCAATTAAAATCACAGGTTTTTAAATCAGAACTGGTAATGCCGCAGACATTTTCTTTCCTTCCATCCTTACCACTTGGAAATTAGTAGAGCTTTATATCTATTAGCAGCAAATGCTGGCAAATGCAGATTTTCAGCTTTTTTTTTAAGGAAAGTTTTAAGTTGGACAGCCAAGTAGCCTACAAAGGTCAGCTGTCAAAAAGTTTGTATTACGGAACATTGAACCTGAATAAATGGCGATTCCATTTTCAACAGACTACGTCTTCAACTTAATTTTTAAACTTAATTGCCATTCAATGATATTCTATGTATTATATAAGCTAATGATAAATAAATAGATGAAGTAAACATAAAATCAATTTTCTATTATCAACTGCATTTTGTTTTAATAACTTTGCTATCCTTCCATATGTGTGCTTATTTCAGTGTTCTTGTTTGGCAAAATGACAATGAGAATCAAATTTGCTATACAAAAATAAATTATTTCTGCATTCTGCTTTTTCATTCACTAGAAAATTGTTATCTGAACTAAGCTTACTCCTCCACAGCAAATCCATGAAATTCAAAAATAATTGGAAGTAAATAGTTCATAAAAAACTTATAGCTTTATAAATCCAGCAATGAATTTAATAAAAATTAAGAACGTTTTAAACAATGAATAAAAGAATGTAAATTTGTATTTATGTTCTTTTATTCTTCTATTCTATTATGTTCTGTAACTGAGGAAGATCAGTGAATCTGGTTAAAAACATTCTTAATTTTTATTAAATTCATTGCTGGATTTATAAAGATGTAAGTTTTTAATGAATTATTTCAAATTCATGACTTTGGATGCTATTGACATTAAAATTTATTTTCTATTTAACTTTTTCTGAGTNTATCTTGAACAATAAAGTTTAGCAGATTTCCTCTCAGTATTTTTTTTTTCTTTTCTTTTTTCCACTTATTTTATAATTTTTTATAATTGCATTTATAATGAAATAAAATAGAAAAATGATGTTTTAATATTTGAGTGATGCCTTCTAGAACTTCATGCTTTATGAAATTTGAAATTGAAATTTCATGCTTTCAATGGCTCTAGAGCTGTGAGTTATGGAAAGATTTTATTTCAAATTCTAGCAACTTTCTACAGGATTTAAACTATTGTGGGTTATATATTGTCCCAAATTATACACACAAAATTACAGTAGTTTTAATAGGAATGTCAGTTTAATAAACTATAAGTATCTATTTTGTTAAAAATTATATGTAATATCTACAAGTATTTTAAGTAATAAAACTACACAGACCAAATATATAAAAACCAGTAAAAGAAAAAATATATTTATTTATACAAACATTTTCATCCATTTGTAATGAACATCATAGAATATTCCACAAGGAGAACAAAACAAGTAATTAGATATATTTAAATACTATGATTTGAAGTGTGTACATGTATACACTTCAAACTAGTGATATGGTGTTACCAAATCAAATAAAAAACTGTAAATTTAAAATTAAATTGCCTATATGCAGATATATAGTAATAAAAAAACAAAATAGAATTCCTAGGAGAGTTCAAAACATGCATTCCATTCTTTAGAAAGTGTATCCATCTCTACAGTTGACCACTTCCACCTGTTAACAGCCTTGTAAATTTTAAGCACTTCTAAATATTTCAAATATATAGGATCTGATGTTCAATGTAATAGATGCACCTCATCAAAATAGACCCACAGTCCATTTTGATGAGGTGCATCTATTACATGTCCAAAGACAGTCAACTTTAGAGAGACAGATACATTTCTACAGCATGGAGAGCTTGTTTCAAACTCTCCTAGTATTTGTTCAGTGTTTTTATAACTATACTAGCTGCAAGGACCCGCTTCGCTGGGTTTTTATTTGTGGGCAAAAAGTAACGATAGTGAAGATTAAGATAATTACATTATAGCCAATCTTACCCGTTTTCACAAAATGCAAGAATTAGGTCTCCCGTTTCCAGACGTTTCCAGAGAATTTTTACATGAGCATAAAAATATTTTCGATTTCC